ACCAGAGCGTGCTGGACTAGAGAAGTTCAACCTGTACTACAGCTAGTATTCCTTAGTGGTAAGAAATATGTGCACCATTTGACTAAATTCAAGCTTTACATTTAATAAAGAACTAATAGAAAACTCATCTGATGGCTGGAATAGCTCCATTGATTTCTATTAGTGTTTATATTTGAATGTGACTCCCTCTTATACATGGTTCAGTTTTGGTTCTGTGTAGACTTAGGGTAATTCATTAAAGCTACATGTTTATCACTAAGCCTCGGTTATCACTGTGCTTCCCCCCCCCATCTGAACAGATGTTTTTTTTCCATTTGACTAGTAGCTCAGCCATGATGCACTGTACCATGTCACAGAGTGAAGCCATAATTCCAACTGCCTCACCATGCTTGTTCAAAGGCAGGGGGAGCGATTGATTGGTAAGTAGCTTTGGCACAAACCAAGATACTCCATCAGCCTTTTTGAAGATGGAATTTGGTGGTGCTTGCCACTTGGCCAAAAAGTTTTTCAGCAGATGGTACTCACATATGGGTAAGGTTTGACACTATTAAGAATCATTAACAAGCAGTACTAAGCCAGCTATGTCAGGCTGATCTGCTGAAAGAACAAATCCATTTATTTTATATTTTGCTGCTCTCACTAGTGGACAGCATTTTATATGGCAATTGTGTAGTTAGCCAGCGCTTCTTTAGCCAATCTCTCACAGTGAAAATATCATGCAAGGCAACAGAGGGAGGTACTCTAGGAGGAAATGCAGGCATTTTTTACGGCACACAGCCCTTGACAGATTTCTCTCTGGGTTTCCATATGGCTACGGAATGGAAATCAGTCTCCTCTAGGGTGGTTAATGAGCTCCTTTCTGCTGTGACAGCTCCTCCATCTGCATCCTGCTTGATCTCAGTGCAGCTTTCAATACTACTGGCTATTCCATTTCCATGTGAGCCTCGACAACAGTGTGGCCATCTCAGGTTGCCTCTTCTATGGTTCTACTATTACATAACAGGCCATTGCATAGGTCTGGCAGTAGCTTCTCCCTCTCACCGCTCCTGAATGACTTTTCAAGAGTCTATTTTTGGCTTGCTTTTTTCTAGCTCCCTTTTCCTTCTGAGTCAATTTATCTCAACTTTTACTCTTAAGGTACCACTTTTAGGCTGTGTAGTTGAACTGTCACTTTTCACCCATTTTATAACTTTTGCAGTGACAGCTCCTCTCTGCCTATCTTGATGCTTGGACATTTTATTTATAGGCTTAATATTTCAATGTTACAGATGGGGATTAGAGGTAAAATAACTTCCCCAAGTTAGTGCTGGGATTCTATGGCAGAACTTGGAACTTAATCCTTATATCATGTGTTCCAGAGTTCCAGAGTCCAGTACCTTGACCACAAGATCATTTGGCTTGTGTGCTTTTCTTGTTTGCGTCTGGTGTCACACAAAGGGCTAGAATGCAGATGTGATTCTCCATTTCTGGTATGTCCCTTCTTGGTTCTTGCCATTTGTCTCCTTAGACTTGATCCTGAACGTTCTTTCATTGGTATGTTTCCCAATCACTACAGCGTAGACCTCCCTGGTCCATCCCAAAATAACTACCCCACATCTACACAAGCTACCCATTATTTTGAAATATTTTTTGAAATAGCAGTCATGTTATTTTGCCATCCCAGTAAACCTCATTGCACGAGGGATAAGGGATGGCTTGAAATAGTGCATTATTTTGAAATTTGGCGCTGTGTAGATGTGCCAAATTTCAAAATAAACAATGCTAAAATAGTTTCTAAATAAGATATGTAATTTGCATAGAGTAAATTGCGTATCTTATTTTGAGTTTAGGGTGCTGTGTAGACACAACCCTAAACTCCCTAGCACCCATCAGAAAGCAGACCTGCTGGTCTGTGTCTGGAAAGAACCAGCATTATCTATTTGTGAAGCTGTGCACCCTTTCACTGTGTTTGCGGAAGCCATGTGGTATGGTAGTCATCAAATTACTGGGGGTATGTCTACACTGCCACCCTAGTTCGAACTAGGGTGGCTAATGTAGGCATTTGAAGTTGCAAATGAAGCCCGGGATTTAAATATTTGCATCATTTGCATCTTGCCGGGTGCCGCTATTTTTAAATCCCCGTTAGTGCGGACTCCGTGCCCGTGGCTACATGCGGCACGGAGTAGGTAGTTTGAATAGGATCTCTAATTCGAACTACCGTTACTCCTCATGGAATGAGTTGTACCAGTAGTTCGAATTAGAGAGCCTAATTCGAACTACCTACTCCGTGCTGCGTGTAGCCACAGGCACGGAGTCCGCACTAACAGGGATTTTAAAATGGCAGCGCCCAGCAAGATGCAAATGAAGCCCGGGATATTTAAATCCCGGGCTTCATTTGCAACTTCAAATGCCTACATTAGCCACCCTAGTTCGAACTAGGGTGGCTAATGTAGGCATTTGAAGTTGCAAATGAAGCCCGGGATTTAAATATTTGCATCATTTGCATCTTGCCGGGTGCCGCTATTTTTAAATCCCCGTTAGTGCGGACTCCGTGCCCGTGGCTACATGCGGCACGGAGTAGGTAGTTTGAATAGGATCTCTAATTCGAACTACCGTTACTCCTCATGGAATGAGTTGTACCAGTAGTTCGAATTAGAGAGCCTAATTCGAACTACCTACTCCGTGCTGCGTGTAGCCACAGGCACGGAGTCCGCACTAACAGGGATTTTAAAATGGCAGCGCCCAGCAAGATGCAAATGAAGCCCGGGATATTTAAATCCCGGGCTTCATTTGCAACTTCGAATGCCTACATTAGCCACCCTAGTTCGGACTAGGGTGGCAGTGTAGACATACCCTGGGAGGCCTGGGGATGGAGGGTTTGAATCCAAGTGGAGCTACTGAGTGGCTGTGTGATACTGAGCAAGAGACCTGACCAGCTTGGACTGGAAATTTGGATAAAGTTAAGGACCTCATTAAAACCAGATGCTGCTCCTAAATGGAACTTCTCTGGGTAAATGTAAACCTATCATTAAGGTCTTCATCTGTTGGAAAGAACAAAATTTATTTCTGTCTCTATGACTAGTACAGAATGCCCTGCACTGTGTTTTTGTCACAAGTCCCTCACAAAGAAAAGCATGTTGTACTGATGGCACAGACTGGAAGACAATTGGATCCAGATACTCAAAGGTACTTAGATGCCTAATTCCCATTGAAACCAATGGGGATTAGCTGCCTAAATATCTTTTAAGCTCTAGACCATGGGTTCCCAAACTGGGGTGTGTGCCCCCTGGGGGTGTGTGAAGAAATTCCAGGGGGGGGGGGCACGAGGCAACCCAGCCCTCCCCCACCCCATCAAGTTTTGCTGTCCTGGTCAGTTTTTTTTTTTGCTCAACAAGTTTTGCTGTTGAGGAGGGGGGAAGGGGGACGTGAGGGTTTTTCAAAAATCAAAAAGGGGGTGTGATGCTGAAAAGTTTGGGAACCACTGCTCTAGACCAAGGTGACTCTGAGATTCACCATGTATGTTCCAGGTTCCTCCTTACTCTGTGTGTGGCGGGGTGGGGGGAAAAGGAGGGGCAGATGGAATATACCAAGCACCAGGTCTGAGGTGTTCAGGGAAGGGGGAGCCAAGGCTCCAATCACTTTTGCCCTAATCAATCTACTTATGCAGCACCTGCCCCCAATGCCACTTTCCCCCTTACACTGTTACTATGATTCAGGTAGTGGGAATTAGTGCATGCTGCCACACAATATTTCTAAGGGCTCCATGGAGGTATGTTGAACTTTGATATTGTTATGATTAGAATAACTATAGGATTGAGGGTAGTGTAGTCATTTTCTAGCCTCTCTAATGGGGCACGCAGCTGCTATTATTATCAAATGAAGAGCAGAAGAGCTGATAGTGGGAGATTGGCATTGGAAGGAGGTGAATTTTCTTTTGCAGAACTAAATCAGTGTTCCACAGAATGTGAGTCCACCAAATATTATAGCACACAAATATAATTCAGTGAAATAAGCCACTGTGTAATAAAACATTCATACCCTCGATAACATGGGGTTAATATGGCTTACATTTCTCTTGCTTTTTAAAACAACTGTCAACGTACAATGTAATTGCGTATTTTGCTGTCAGTAATTTCTTCCTGTATTGTGTTTACTTTGAAATTTGAATTTTTGAGCTGAACAAAGGGACATAGGGCAGCTGGGTGATTTTTAGTGGGAGTCGAGTGCCTACATGCCCTTCGTGACACTTTCAAATGGAAGTAGCAAAGAGAACACTCCAATAAATAATAACAGGCTTGAGTCAGAATAACCGGGCCCTACATTGTTTTGGTATCTAAGAGGAAAGCGCTCTATAATCTAGCAGAGAAAGGCATTATAACATAAATTGGCTGGATGCTGAAGGCAGATATATTCTTCCACACCTATGGACTGTTCAAGAGAGAGAGAGAGAGAGAGAGAGAGAGAGAGAGAGAGTTTGTATTGGTGGTGAACATCCATACATTACCTCAATATTTATGTTGCACATAAGAAATTTCAACCCACCCAAAAAAAAATTCAACCTGCCCAAGGATAGAAAATGTTAGTGGGAACACTGACTGGAAGTCTTTAAATCAAGAAATGTGCATCTTTCTAAAAGATATATTCAAGCTCAACCACAAAGTGTAGGCTCAATGTAGGAATTACCAGGTGAAATTTTATGGCTTGTGCTATGCAGAATGTCAGATTAGATGTTCACAGTGGTCTGTTTTGTCCTTAAAAAAATCTGTGACTGAATCTATAAATGAGGACTAAATTTGCTAATTCTAAATGTGATTAGCTAAACCACCCTTCTGAATTTTGCATGGTTGCGGGTGTGGGTGTTTATAGGAGAGAAGGGTTAGACCTTTGCAGACTGCGAACATGTGTATGACCCTCAAATGGTTAGTATACTGGCTTACTTGAGCCACAGAAAAACATATGAATAACATCTTATTGAAAAAAAAATCAAAGTTGAAGTCATATCACAGGTTTTTTAATACTGTTCAAAAAGTACCTGACTCTACATAAACATCAACTATAACATGATGTAGACAACCAAGAAACAAGCAAATGTATTTTAAATGCTAAAATAAATTACATTCATACAAGTAGACAGCAAAACCAAAGCTGATAAAAATGTTAAATTTTATGAAAAATCAGTTTCCGTTCACATCAAAATAATTTTACATTCGCTATTGATTTAATAGTATAAGCAGCAACATAAGAAAGGGACAAACGCTCACAGAATGTTTAAAACCAGTTTTTCATAATAAGTTATTAGCAAATAAAAATAATCATAATAATTACAAGCACTTGTAGCCCACACAAATCAGTTAGAATTGGCACCGTCTCTCTAAAACATCTATATTCTATATAGAGTTCTAATTACAATTACCACCAGCAGCTGCCATTGAATCCTGTCAGTACATATAATATACATAGTATATTTATTCCCATTTGGCAGATCGGAGTGACTCAGATGTTTATTATTTAGTTTTTGCACAGTCATTGTTCAGACAAGACAATGCCAGGCACATATGCCAATTCATCAAGGAGATGAATTTCTTTACTTACCTTTATATTTCACTGATCTGACTTTGATTTATTCTTTTCACAGTATAAAATGGCAACTACAGAGCTTTTAACAGCTTAGGTGTGATGAAAAGCTGTTGCAAAAAAATGACCTCAGGTAGTTCAGTCAAAGTTTTTAATATGTGTCATATCCTGGAAGCGTAGCATATGACTCTTGGGGAAACATTTTAATTCTCTTGCTGGGAATCAGAAAAATGCAGTAAAGCCCATGACCTGTTTCCTACTTATGGATAAATTACAAACTTTGACATTTCCACCACAATTTTATTTATTTATAGGAATATCTGGTAGGTAAATGGTAAAGCAAACCCATGAGGAAGAATCTAGCCCCTGAACAAGAGAGCTCTCTTAATCTAATCAGCTATTATGGTGCATGGACCAAGCAAAATCGTAAGAAACCTCTTTCCTCCTATCATCCCCCGCTGCAGTAAATAGTCAGTGTATGGACTTCACTGAACATGGCCAGACTCAGATCTCAATTACACTGACATAAACCTGGAGTAACTCTATTGACCTTCATGGGTTTCCACTGGTGTCTGTTGAGATAGCAATCTGGCCATAATTACTCATCACAAACATTGTAATCTGACTTCTTCTAACCCTAAACCTAACCCTATTTTCACTCTGTTTTTCTCTGTCTGGTAGGGTCTGGCTGTATTACCAAGTATGAGCATAAAGATAATTATCTCCTGGGAATTGCACTTACGTTCTCTGTCTAGTTGCTTTTGCTTTCTTGGGTAAAGGTTCCCAAATGTTTTAGTGTGAACCACATGGTAATCCAGAGATTGCCTCGTACCATCTGCCTTTCTAATCACACTCACATAGATGACTTTCCGTCCCATTTGTGATCACACACATTCTTGTAGCAACCACAGCAATTGTGTATCTGCTCCTGTGCGTGAAGGAAAGTATTTCATATATTTTAAGCTGTCTTTTAATGCAGTTTCACTGTGAGAAGTCAGAAGAAGGCACCAGCACCATGTGATTAGCTGTCTTCAGGAGCCATCAGCAACTGCTCTGTGGACCATAATCTAGAAAACTCTAGTCTAAAATATCTATAGTAGGCCCATCACCAAGCATCTTAGATACTTTTATAGGAAAAATAGAAGAGGATACATCTCTAAAGTCACATGATAAATAGCCAATTTCAAATACAGCTCTGCCTCATTTTTTCCCAGCACTTTAAATGCTTTAAACTCACTGTATTTCAGCAGCGTGGTTTCCAGAGTGGAGTCATACCTGCACTCTCCCAGGGCTGGTCTTCACCACAAGGGTTTTCTTGGCAGAATCTTTACCATCAAGATTGTTAGTATATTCCCTTCAGTGTAAACAATTTCCTCTTTAGCAGCAGAACTGGAAGCTAATATTCATATGCCCTTCATCTGCTTGCACTTTGTGCATTCAGATGGTGAGGTCTTCCAGGTGGGGACCTTGTTTTCACATTGTCCTGTAAAGAATCTAGTACACTAAAGGTGCAACGAAAATAATTATTAGAATCCTCAATTTCTCTCCCTTCCTCCACCAAATCCTCTAGACTCTTGCTTGGGACCCTAGAGTTCCATATAGCTGCCTTAGAGTCTTCCAATGCTTCAGTTCTTTGTGTGGCTCCTCATTTTCCCCACAAAAGCTCTCCTCTTTTGTATGAAATTCAAGTAAATCTCCAAAGGACCAGCATGCCCAACTAAATGGCTTCTGCCATCCCATACCTAGCGCTAATCAAAATCTTGGAAGTCAAATGGAAAAAAAATGTATGATCTCAACAGGGCCAGTCTTGCATTCTTTATGCATGCAGGATTTTCTCTGTAGCAAACAGAAGTACAAGGAGAGCATGGTTCTTAGTGAACAAAAGCAAAGCATGTTTAAAAGATGGCTAGTATAAAGTTTGGTTCCTAATCAGCAATGAATGGAAGTTGTACCCAACTATAAAGCTGAGGGATTAATGTATTCCTGACAATATAAAAAAGATTAACAAATTCTGAACAGCAACTATGGCAAGTTGGACTAAATAATTATGACCTAGGGACTGTGTAACAGTGGATGCATTATTTATATTGAATTATGTTTCGATAACCTTCTCTTCTTACTTCTGTTTTTCCTTAAAGAAGACTGATCAACAATACATTTTAAGGGACCACTTGTACAATCCTTATTTATTCTGGTAACCACTTACTCATGCCAGCAAATTCACTGAGGGATAATTGTGTAAGTACTTGCCAGCATGAGAGAGGCCACACAATTGAGACACTAGTTTAAGGAGCAGGGGTGGAGGAACTCTGTTAATAACATCTGGCAATTACTTCATATATAATACAATAACACAGTCTCTTTGAAATGCAGGTAAACCACTCAGCTAAACTATCCATGAATCAAAGCAATTCTGTGTTCAAGGCAAACATATACAAAACCTTGCAAATCCACCATGTACAATATTTCAAATAGTTTCATAGTAGTCTAGAGTCCCTACTGAGAACATACATATAGTGTACGTGATTTGAAATGTCCGTGTTTCCTGACTGGAACCAAGAAAAGTTAAAAGATCTGTTAGTTAAATAAAGAATTCCTGCAGTTAGTTAAATGAAGAATAACTATTTCTTGAGTAAAATGTACTCGATCAGGTTAAACCAATGACATTATTTTAAAGCGTTAGCCTCATCTCATTCAAGCCATTTTTAAAAATGTATTGAATGTAAAATTGGGATATGTAGTATAAAATCATGATAGGGCTAACCTAAAAAGAATAGGAATATTCTGTTCTGAAATGAACAAATGTGCTTTCACTTTTTAATAATATATTTGTTACACCATTTATGGATGAAAAATGCCTGAAAAATACATTTTGATGAAAAAGTATTTGCAAAGCTGAAAAGAAATAAGATTTTGGAGTTAAAAATATTACACAGCAGCCTTATTTCCAACGCTCCCTTCCATAAGTCTATCTTCTGTAAAAGGCTGCATCAATTTGACTTTGAATAACAGTAAATTACCTGCCCCTTCATACTATATTTATTAGAAAAAACACACAATTTGGCGCCTGAGGATAACTGTGTCACTGGGGAAGGGAAGCAAATTATAGTGTGCATGTGTTGAGGACTTGAGTCATTGCTTCAACATAGCTATCAAAAATTATTTTGCTTCTATTCAAATTTTAAATCTCTCCCTGCATGTATTTAAAAAGTGCCATGACAGCATGAATTGTATTAAACTGCGCTTGTAGCTACTTTGATACAGGAAAAAAATGTCAATAATTCCCTCACCTCTTCTACGAGTTGCTAAGAAACAAAGAAAGACTCCATTGGTTTGACTCTCATTAGGTCTCCCTTGTTTGAACACCTACTCTGTATTGCTTTGAAAATCGTCTTTTGTCACAGTTCAGAGCTGCAATGTATCCACAGCTAACTAGAGTTAAAATCGTTGCTTATTGAAGAGTAGCTAAACCACCTTTAAGCAGACTTTGACACAGGGTTTTTTCGTAAATGAATTATGATCATGACCATCCTTTCATTGACAGTTTTCTTCATCCTAATCCAGACTGCTTCCTCAGTATTCTACCATAGAGTGTTCACCAGTTCCTTACAAGTAAAGGGTACGGAAGTCTGAATAACAATGGTATATTAATTGGCAATGTTATCATTAAGAGTGACCATAAAAATGTGTTAATTTCACTAGGGAATGCAGCTAGGCTATAGCTCAATAATACTGCTAGAAAGAGAATATTCTCCTCAACAACTTGTCTTGATAAAGGAATTACAAAACAGTTCTCCAGAAAATATTTTTTGCTACTCCATCATGGCAACGTGGTGAAAGAGTCAGGAAATTGTCGTCCCATTTTTTTTTCTATGAAGGTGTATCCAATGTTGTTAAATGGAACTTTTTAATACTGATAGAAGAGAATTTCATAAACAAATCTGTAGGTTGAGAAGTCACTTGTAAAGCCCTCCATATTGCAGTCACACATTGCAAAGCCGCAGTTTATTATTATCTACATGTAGGGTATCACCAGCATGATACGATTCAGCAAAAAGTTTGGTAGTTTCTAAACATACTTTACTGTTTTTTGAGATCTTCATAGAAAAAACAACAACACGTGAGCCTGACATATTGGTGCCAGATTTTGAGTCTGTTAGAAAATGTACATTCAATGTTTGGTCTTCTATTTTTGATAATAGATCAAGGTTCACTTCTGGGTAAGGAGTCAGAGTAAATAAAGAAAACATTGTACAGTTGCTTACAGTCTACTTTTTTCATATATTATACACACAGTTCATTGTTATACTAAAGCAAAGCACTTGGTATGTAACTGATTTAACAGACTCCTTATAAGCCCTCAAAAATAGATGCAGTGTTTCTTAAAAGCCCGTGTTTTGTAAGGCCACGAAAATCTGCTGAAAGTTTTGTTTCTTTAAAATAGGTTAATTCATCTGATGTCTCCATTTATCAAATAACCCTATACTGACCCCCTCCATTTGTCACATGCTGACCCATTGCCTATCACTGTATCTGTATAAAGACTGGAGATCTTGAAGGCTTAGCTGTCCCTTCTCTACCTGCCGATAGCTGTCAGGATCCAATATGTCCTGAACTACATTCACAATGAAGAAGAACTTTGTGTGTAATCTCTGATGATAAGCTTGTCATACTTCGGGGAAGATGGGATACACAGCGCTGATTCTGACACTGGGGAGCTGGGAGATGCGCTCCCAGAATCAATGGAGTCTCTAAAAGGTGAGGGAGGAGTTAAAGCCACCAACTCCTCAAGATCTTGCTTCACCACTGGGGCCTCTGAAGCACCTTCTTTGATGCTGCCACATGAAGCTTTCCTAGCGGTCTGCGATGCACTGTTCACTTCAATGGCAGGGAGTGGCTGGATCTCTGCAAAAGTGGTCAGTGTGGTAGGAAGCTGGATCTCTCTTGGGATCAGGTAGGAAGAGCATAGAGGAGTGGCCACCATAGCCCCCGGTGTGGCTGTCGAAAGCATCATAGAGTTCAGCTCACTGATGTTGGCTGTGAAGCGTGTGACCACACTGCTGATTTGCTCCATGAGAGAACCTTGGGAGGAGCTGCTCCGCTGGGCATGTTCTGTCTGGGAGGTGGGGACCTCCTCATCTGTTCGGCTAATGGAGGCCGTCCTGTGGCTCACCGTGCTGATTGGCGAGGGGGTCTGTGGCTGGTAGTGCGCTGGGTACTGCTCCTCTGCTTCTGAGACATCGTAAAGCATTTTGGCACTGGCCTCCGGAAATGCGGCGCTGCTGCTATGGCGGCTACTGTCTGTGCTCTTAGAAAAGGGCTTGATCACTGCGGTTTGGTTTGGGTTCTCCTTTTTGTTGATGTGCACTGAGAGCCTTTGCCAGAGGTGTGCTCCCCTGCTGCTGCTCTTCTCATTCTGGGCCCAGGTGACTGATTTCCCATTCGAGCTGTGAACGGAAACAAGAGAAGACGATGGCCCACATTTAGATTTTCATCACAATGGCTCACTTTAACCACCTTGCTAAATCACGCACACGGACAGCTGAAATTCTGGCACCTATACATCAGACCTGTTCTAAAGCTGATGGTAAAAAAATATTATTCTATAGCAAAGAATAAACACTGATGAATGCACCAGTTAAGCGGAGGTTACAGATGGCAATCTACTACAAGGATGCTCATCTTGCAATGATTATAATAACCTGCTGAATTAACTTCCCACTTGAAATGGATTCTCATTACTTTTTTTTTTTTATTTGGAGTAGAAATTGACTCTTCAGTGCATTAAACTCAGATATTCCCAGACTAGGTGGAAAAAAGGTCACGCTGCCCGGCAATTTAGGACAGCCTCAATCTAGCCTGGTCAAGAGAAATTTGATTATATACTGCTTTCAGGAGAAGCTGCTGACTTGTAGTTAAAAATCCCAGCAGCATTAGTTGTCCAGCTTGTCTGACCAGAGGTTTAAATTAACAACTGTTGGGTTTTTTTTTTGCCTTATAAACATCGCTGAAGAACAGGAGAAATGAAGAGGTGCCAGGCTGGCTCTGATACTTGTATTATAGACATTTGTGTGATAATATTGTGGCAATTTCCCCTTACAGCTCAACTCAGCACAAATAGAACATGGTGCATCCTCTGTTCCCAAGCACACTGGGAGGCATCAAAGCAGTGACACTGGCAGAAGGCTGAGACTGGTGGACAGTTGTTTTCATTTTCAGCCTTGGGTCAGATATGTCACTCAGTCTCTCAGTTAATGAACCCACAGTTTTTAACTGCAGGTCAGCTGAGAGCAGGAGATTGTCCTTGAGGAAAGTAAATGACCCACAAATAGTACAAGAGCCATTTTTCTAGCCCAACTTCATCAGAAACTATGGTAACATCCTGCTGTCCCCTCCAAAATTAATCACCACAGATATAGGCCCTTCTCCCCTTATTCTTCGGTCAGAGACACCTCAGGACCAAGACACTCTATAAATAGAGTGAGTGGGTTCCAGATCTCTCTCTCACACAGTGTGTAACTGCTCCTTTCACCTCTTCCCCTTCTTCTGTCAGATTGTCCATGGGCATACACATGGACATGCCCATTCAACTCCTGTACCTTCACTTGTGGCTCTCAGGATGAAAAAAAAAAAACCATTAGCAGTAGAAAGATTTCTCCATAGAGACAGACAATAAACTAAATGATGTCCACAATAAAAACATTGTATCATACATACAAAATTACATACATGCATGATTTATATACAAAAATTGATTTTGTAACATGTTATTTTTGTCTTTCAAAATATTTGTAAAAAACATTTATGCCAGTTTTGGAAAGACAAGCAAATATGAGATGCTGGTTGCGCTAAGACATCTTAAACAATGTGTATTAAAGCCAGAAGTGACTGCTACACATCAGTATTTTTGTTTGCTACCTAAAAGCTTGAAAACTATCTAGTGCTAGCACAATGAGAATTTTATGTAGTTCTTTGTAGGGTGGTCTGCACTCTGCTGGGAGTTGCTGTTGATTCACTGTTTCATCAAGGAAACTAAAAACTGTCTACTGAACAAAGAACTGGTAGATTCGTATCTATGGTTGTGATATATGGAGATGCAGTGTTTCATGTAACATGACATACTGTGACACCATTTCTTTACAAACAGGAGTATGAGAGAATCCAACAGATGAACACAATCTAATCCTCTAGGGTACTAGCTGTTTGGAAGCAAAGTACGACAAGTCTGTATAATCCAGTGTGGGTACATAATGGCATAAGGGGGAATTATGCCCGTTTTCGCTCCTAGAAGCCTTCCTTGCTCTCCTACACAGTTCATTGGACATCAGGTGTTCACATGTAAGTGGATGCTGTGCACCTACAGTTGCCCCATTCCTAGCAAGTGGGTGGGGAGTGGGTGGGGCTTTGGCTCTCTCTCTCACCACCTTCAGCATGGTAGCCAGAATAGTTGTGCTATCTTGGAGGATAGGTGGTGGTGGTGGTGGAGGCTAGTAAATTGTGGCTAGTATGGATTAGCAGCAAATCACTAGTCCCTTGAAGCAAAGAGGGAACAGGGAAGGACTTGTATTCACTTGAAATATGTTTCCCTCCCTCTGCTGCAGCTGGGGTCACCCACCAATGTGTGGCCTCTTAAACAGGGCAAGACGAAACAGACAAATTTTATCCGCCACTTTGATCCATTCTACTCTTCACTGTTCTGTCATTCTGAATCATAGCTAGTGTCACTATAAGCCACAGCCTGACAAGATTCCTGTTCACTAACTTCCAGATGGTGGTTGTGAAGGGACATAGAGGGGAAGTAATATGAGTAATGATCCACCATCAAGTAGAGAAGGTGAATGAGTTTTGAGTTAGAGGGATGGGTGTGGGTGTGAAGAACTGAGCCAGCATAGGGACGGGAGGAGGAGAGAAACTATGAAACATAATTTTCACCTAGGAGAGCAAGAGCACCAGGTAAAGTTATTCATGGAGTATTTGTGACTCTCTTGAGTTCCAGTCTCTTCTGTGGGCCAGTCCTGGTTGATGCAGATGTACATTGCCTTTTATGCAAGCCTATAGGTAAACACTCCACCTAACTGCATCTGTGACTAAAAAGGACCACTGGCTTCTTATGGAATTTTCCAGAGGAATCACTGAATGGTTTGTCCCTTAACTATTTCAAGTCCCTTGGTTTAACAAACTGAATTTAGCAGTCCCCAAGCAAATAGCAATTTATCCATTCAAAAATAGCCCAGACATGAAAAGTCAACAAGAGAGCATACAGCAATAATTAGAACATTAATTTCAGACATCCAGCTTCTCTGTTATAGCCTGCTGCTCCTATTTCCTATTCTATGACCTAATGCAAAATTAATTATATTAAAAGAAGAATTGATCTTTCAAACCTCTCTGTAAAAGTCATTTGTTTTTATCTGTTGATGGCTGAGTGATGCTTGATAGGGCTGTATGATGCACGTTGTGGTTAAGGGGTGGAGGTGCAGGACTGATCAAAGTATCATCTTTTCACACCACAAAGTACACGCTTTATAGAAAAATAAATAGATAGTCATCAACAACATAGACCATGATGCCTGCTAATGGAATATCACAAACAGTTGTTTACATTTATTGGGCCAGACTGTGCCATGTTCCATTGAGTGATGGGAACCTTTTGGTCAATGATATTCTAGATCAGGGATTCTTACCAAGAAACTCTGCTTCCCATCCATTTCTGTCATGGGGACAGGATATTTTCAGCTCCAAAATGAATATCAAAATGACTTCTGGAGATCAGAATATATATTAACATGCGACTTTGCCATGCAAACCTTTTGGTTCCACTATTTTTCATTGAACAGATCACTGATTACAATTCAGGGATGCAGACTTCGAGACAGTGCCACAATTTACAGCCCACAATGCAAATTGGACACTTTTTTGTGTGTGCAAAGAATGGTGTTTATTGGTGGCACATTTTGTATTTATTTCTTTTTACAGTGTGGCTAACTTCAGTTTTATGTACAGGGAGATCTCAAAACCTTTCATTCTAATAAATTGTATTCTTAGACTAGTTTGGCTTATCATGACCCTACATGTGCAAGAAATTTCAGACTTTACATGAGGTCTTTGAATGCCCTAACTTTCACATCTTCCAGTAAAACAATAGCTTTTGTACCTTCCTCATTCTTTTTTACTTTTTAATTTGTATTAGCTTCTTTTATATTTTTTATTTTCTTAAAAACACTGATTCACTATTCGCAAATTTAAAAAAGCCTACTGAAAGCCCATTTGAAGATTGGAAATTAATGTTTTCCTCTCTCTGTTTTCTTCTTTACTAATTTAGCAAAGATTATTCTGCCCTTTGTTTTTGTTGATCTAATAAATTCTGTTTTGTTTTGATCCTTGTGTTTCTTGATATCTAAAAAAATGTGCAATGCTCTTTGGTTAACTGATTATAGAATCAGCAAGGGAAGGATGAGGATAGTGACTGTGCTTTGTGTAGGCCATAAACAAGAAAGAAGGAAACATACTGACCCATACACTGGAAACTTTCTATTAACTTTATAGCAAGATTGTCATTTCCATGGATTACTGGAGTTTGATATATGTAATTTGGTGAAATATCCTTAGCAGTACTGTACATAGTGGATACACTGTCTTCTACTCTTTTGAATAGTGGGTAATTTATTGTACACTAATGCAAGCTGAAAATAAGCCATTTATTTTCTTACTAATATCTGTCAGCCACAGAATGTAAATATACATACACCCCATGGAATTCCACATTTATAAGACAACCTAAAACAGACAGGCATACATTTAAAACTATACATTTCTTGAAAACTGAATAAAATGAAACTATTTTAAAAGCTGCCTAAAACTGTGCAGAACAAATTCAATCCCCATTTATACTGTTGAAAAACCAGAATTATTTTGCAGATTTCAGTGGTATTATTCTGGATTTGTGATCCAAATCAAAGCCCGGGCTTGCCCACAAACTTTCAAGGAAATAAAAAGGTCTCCATTAAAACTTGTTTAGCTGTTTCTGTGCAAGTGTAGGTATGGATGTTCTTGTTGTTGAAGAAAACTCAATTAGCTAAAGATGACAACTACATTTGACTTCCATTTCTATTCCTAAGCTAGTGTGCCCATGTATAGACTTGTACAGAAATAATCACACTGTTTTATGCCACTAATATAGCTAGGGCATTGTCTTATTCCTTCTATTTAATCAGAGGCCCGTCCCTCTTTCTGCCAAGAAGGAGTCTTCAAATAAAGAAAACTAACATGAGTCCCTTCTCAGAGTGTCAACTTTTTGAAGACCTATCTAAATAATCACTGACACTGAAAAAAAATGGTGAATCACATTAACTGGCTTTCACTAATTGGAGCTTTCTCTGTGAGTCCTAGCATTGGTCACTTGGACAAGCAGCAATTTCAGGTTGATAGAAATTTTTTTGAAGTGGCC